CCAACGTGAGAAAATTCTCTGTTCCTTCCTACGTAGAGCTACACCCTCAGCCACAGCTGAAAGCTCGTCCTCTCCTGCCTGCCAGCTAGGGCAGAGTTTATAGGGTAGGGCAAAATTCTTTGCTCCAGCTCAGCAAGACTGAACCCACAAACTTCATCTTAATGCAGAATGTATAAATAGAAAATACACAGTTTAACTAGTAAGTAAATCATCATCCAAATTACATCACTACAAGTCAGATGTCATCTGCCAATTTGCCCTCTTATCTGGAGTGAGAGTTTTTACCACATGTAAGGGCAAGTTTGCATGTTATCATCACATATTAGTTAATGCACTGAATGTTCACACCCTAGTTGATCTCTTGCTAACTTGGGAATAGCACAAACAGGCATCCAAAGTGAGCAAATACTAGATATGGACCAGGCCTCTAATGATGGTCTATGTTAACTAAGCCAAAAGAAACTAACTCTATCTTTCTAGTTCTTTTCCTAAATTTTTTTGCACCATACGTTTGTCCTTCAAGTACACCTGTGTCAATCTTTAAGTGTATTAGATTTTCAACATCTGAAATTGTAATTCAGGATTGACTTATGTGATGATCTGAATAAATCAGCAGCTGTTATGTTGTCCCGGTTATACTGTTGAAATGCCTTTCAGTCCAAAAAGCTCTGCAGTTCTGAGAAGAGGAGGATGAATAAAGTTGCTTGAAGCAAGCACTAGATCAGGACATGTAAGTACTGAGCAGTCCCTGTAGGCAGTTTGCAAAGGTTACTTCAGACACCACTGAAATGTCTGTTTCTCAAGCAGGTGTTCAACAGCTTTGTCGTTGCTGTTGCACATTGAAGCAGTTGTTCCAGTTACTGGTGGACCTTCACTTTCAGAAACACATCTCTTATTTTTTTCTTTCACATTAAGGAAAATATGAAGGCTTTTGTAGCATAGCACATCCACTGCCTGTGCATTTGGTACTGGGAAGTCAACTTGTGAGGAAAAGATTGAATGTGTGAATAAAATAAGGTTTTATGAGCAGCAGTGCACTGTGACTTCTGCCTTCCATAAAGAAAGGAAACAAAGTATTAACCAAAACCTCAGAAGAGCAAGAAGGGTTAAAACAAGGAAAAAAAGGTCAAGGGAAGGAAGAAAAAGTTCCTACATTTTTAATTTAAAATCGTAGCCATTATTTCCTAGAAATTCCAGGTGGATAATGGGACCTCCCAGTTACAACAGCAAGACATGGAGACCAAGTTCATTCAATTGTGGTTATAAAATATATACTTCAGTGGTTCAATAAAATTTAACTTACCTTTCAAACTTCTTGATAATAATCTAACTGTAAGGTTCATCTCCAAGTGTTCTAGATTCATCATCTTCCTTTTAAATGCAAAGTGCAATCCTATGGGGAGCCTCACACTAATATTTTAAGGTTATTGCCACTTGTGCTCTTGGAATTTGCCGTTCTCAGAATTCCATCACCAAGCTGAAATCTAACAGCAAAAAAATTGTGAGAGAAATAGTAGAAAAAAAGAAGTCAAACAAACGTGAAATAGGGGGTACAAATGCTCAGAAGTTTACTTTGAATCTAGAAAGTCTCCTCCTACAGAAATAAATACTTTAACACACAACCAAAACACAGTAGCTCGGGTTTTCCTCCCAGATACTAATTAATAAAAGAACTCTAAAGAACTGTATTGTATACATGGTAGTGAATTATTGGGCTGGGAACCTAATCTAGCTCTTCATGTTTGATTTGTTTGTAGGCTTTCCCAAGGCAGTGTTAATGCAAACAAGAACTTTGAAATAGCACAAAACTCTCATTCAACCTGTGCCATCAAAACAGACTGTTACTCTACACTTGTGACTCTTCACTGTATATTCATTCCAGCACAGATATCATTCTTAACTGCGTTCTTAGCTTTGAAGGTATCACTCGGCATCTTCCTGGCAGCTCTCATAAATTAACATGTCCAACTAGTCTTTGGCAATACCTGACCCACTGCAGGTAAAGCTGGGCTGGCAGCTTACAGAACACTCGATATTTCTGTAAGAGAAACCACCAGAAAACTCCGTAGCACTCCAGAGAGACTGGTTCCATGCATGAAAGCATACAGTGTATGGTTCTGGGTCTCCCTCCAGATAGTTTTTGTTCCAAGTGGATATTTGTTCTAGAGATTTACTCATGTGGTTTAGGATCTAGATTCTGATGCTAATTTACAAATGGCCAGTTTTTACTTGTTTTTCACCATCATTGCCCTTTCGCTTTAGCAAATCTTCATCCTTGGTGTTTACCATTTATGTGTAATGGTGATGTCACATCTAATCTCAGCCTTTTTCTTCCTTTGGTCACCTCAGTAGTCATTTCTGCATATGGGCTTACTGTACATTCCATTTTGAATTCATACCAGCGTTAATCTCCTCTTTCTGCTGGAAAATACTTCAGGTGGTTGTAAAAACATCAAGATTTACTTACTCTATCACATTTTATACGCGTCAACTACATCAGCCTGTTCTGCTACTTCCAAAAAGTGTCATCTTATAGCACTTTCTTCGTTACTATTCTTCAAGATATGTTTCTGTAGTTTATATTGTTTTATTCTGAGTTTAGAGATTTATAATTATAATAATTATTATTATAATTAGAGTTTCATTCTGTTTTGATGTCTCCATTTCTTGAGGTGAACCTTGTTTTTCCCTGTGCATAATTACCCCATCTCTCCTCCATATTAATGATACCTTCTAGTTTTTGGTCAACAAAACACTGATAACATTCATGTCAGGGTCACTAATAACTACGTTAAAGTTTGATAGCTTTCTTTTATCCTGGATTCACCTCCCAAAAATTGTTCAACGCCTTATCACTTTTAACCAGTTCATTGCCTGTTTTATAGCCCTTATAAAAATTATCAACTTTGCAAACTTGGTTAAAAAATTTCTAAGCATCACACAGTGTGCATAATTAGCGATCACTTAGGTAATGTGTCACACTACCTTTGCCTAGAAAATGCTTGGGTTTTTTTCCCCCAAACATAATTGCAAGTCCAATACACTTTTGTCTACTTGTATACCTGATTATACATCATTCCCTCTTATTGCACACATCTGAGCTGCAACATTCCCTTCACTCATTGCACACAACATTCAAGGACCCATCAGAGATGAAAAACTTCTGTTCTCTCCCTCCTTTTTGCAGTAAGATAGTGTATTACCTGCTCTCCTGTCGTGTGCCACCCTGACTTCACACTCATTTGAAGTATTTCTCATGGAATTGATGCAGCAATATTCATATTCTAGTTTTCTCCATCGCCACATCCTGCAGATTTGCAGCTCACTCAATGTGAGTTTCTCCTTCAAACACATCCTATTCCTCTATTCTTATTTCTATTAATTGTACTAACCATGGGTTGAGCAGTGTATTTAAATCTATTTTAGGACAGTCGAGAAAGTTCCCTCCCCTTCGAAAGATCTTCACATGGATAAGGAACTTAGACAGGGTAGTCACTGTGGAAGCCAGAGAGACGTGAAACCTCTGCTGTCAAGTAGCCTCTGAACTTGGCTGTGGTCGCTCACGGCGGCAGTGACAGCCGGTTGATGGCAGCTAGGAGTCCTGCACTTATCAGTTGCGCCACACGATGGCGCCATAATGCTAAGTGTGTAAATCAACGGGACTAATGAGCTCTAGTATTACACAATTAACGGAGGGCAACCTTTGAATTTGCTGTAATCGTAACAGACTATTTCAATCCTAAAGTCACGTTAGTTATTTTCTCAGTCTGCATTCATTTCACCTTCAGTCCCAAGTCTCGTGTACGCATTAGAGGTGGCTTATTTTTTCCTTTATCAGTCATCCATTTGAAGAGCATATTCCTTCATTTTTCATCGTATTTAAAGCAATCTCTGTCTCTGTCGATTTGCTTTAAAGTTTCAGTAGTTAGGAGACCAAAGGCCACCTGAGATTGCTATTGCATTTCTGTGGTATGTTGGAACTGTTTATATATACCCCCAAAGCATTCCTGAGAAAGCCCACGTAACTGAAATAGTTCATTTAATTATTCAGAGAATTAACAGTAACATAAAATTAAAGTGACTGCTACTGACAGACGTTTTTTGTTGGGCATCACACATGTTAACCTTATAAAGTTAAGATGAAAATGGTACCATTAATTTCACTCCAGCAAGAGTCCTACACATGTTTAAGATTCTTCTTGTCTCAGATTGAAACTAACTACAGGAACTGGCAATATCTCCAAACATTGCTCAAAATACAGACTTACTGATACACAAAATATACAAGAGTACACAATATGTGAAAACTAGATGCAGTTTTTGGGAATATGTTTATCAATGGGAACTCAAGGCTCTGATTTATGCAGGCTTTCAGTCTAATTGGGATTAACGCCTGGAGGCATATCAGGATAATACAGGTGCTCTTCTGTATTCAGAACTTTTTCCCCCCTCCCTAACTTCCCTCTGTTCTTGTCTCCCAATAATGCAATTATTTCATTAAGTTGACAAAAGTAATGTTAAACCATTATTCCACTCAATAAGATTTATCAGTAAGTAAACATATGTAAAAATATTGCTAATGTTCTCACTCCTTTGAGTATCATCCTAGTTACAATCATGCACATTTTTACTTCTTTCAAAATTACCTTCACCACCATTTTCAAGCCGTAAAGACCTTCTGCTCTTACTTTGTATTCATTTCTACAAATAAAGAACTGCCTCTTCTCTGTGCTGGAGCTAACACTGATTATTGTGCTAGCACAGTATAGGGGAGCTTCCTGATGCCTCCTCAAAACTATCAGAATGTTTCCTAGCATGGAATATCACTGAAAACAGCTGCTAAGTCTTTACCTGAAACATTTACATCTGTTTGCCACGATGGTGTTTCAAAGCATTTGATAAAACGCTTCAGAAGTGACGGTAGAAGTGGGATAAGTACATAACAAATTGCTTTGAGTTGGTACACTCAAGTGTTTTATTTTCCTTGTTTAATTATTTAGCTCTTTGCTTGGGAAAAGGCATAAGCTTCCTGGTGTGCTCCTGATCTACGTTTCATTGAGATTTGCACTGTGGGACCCTTCTTGACATTCTGCAGAAAAGTGGCACTGTAATCCAGAGCACAAGTTGAGGATATTCTGGGACAGCAATTATGGTCTTAATCTGCCTGAACAAATTTGCAAAATTTCACCTGTTTTATGGGAAAACATTGCACACCTGATGGGGAATCATTACAGAAATGTTCCTGTTTCACCACCAGCGAAAGCAAACCAGCAGCATTCCCTTCTCCATACAGATCTTTCACTGTAAAGGAAGCAATTAAAAATTTCACTCCTAACCACAACTTACTACAATAAACAATTCTCCTTTCGTATATCTGTTCTAAGTCTCCGGTGAGAAATTTCGTCTGATGACAGCACTAGGCTCAAACTTTCATAGACACAGTTCCACCCAAGAAACTCCCAAGTCTTCAGATGCAAATGAACCTATGAAAATACTAACAACCATGGGAGTGGGTGCATAACAAACTTTCATCAGAAAGAAATTGTGGTGCCTCACTCCATAGGTGTTATATTAACTGTCAGGAATTCAGGCACTGGCCTGCAGGTGAAGACAATTAAGTTATCCTACCAGATCTGGAATGTGTTGGGAGCAATTCAGTGACTAGTTGTAAAGGAAGGAAGGAATGTGTCCTGCTTTTCCTTGTTAGGGCTTGCTACCACCCTAGGGATAAGTGAACTGTTTATTTTCCTCTTTAAGGAAAAAAAAGGTTTTATGTTCCACCTAAAGCAGACAATCTGAACAGCTTAACCCTTTCCAGCTTTGTCTGTTGTATTCAATCTTTCTATTTTTAAATTCTATGAGTGCAAACCAGGAAAGTTCTGATTTAACATAACACCTGCCTATAAGCTTCTCTGTCTCTGCTACAAAAGCTACAGGGAATCAGTACTTCCCACGGGGCAAGGGAAGAATCAATTTCTGGTTTCCATCTCCAGTGCAGAAACAGTGACACATGTCCAGAGCGGCAGCAGATTATCCCATATTTGGTAACACTGCTACATTGAAAATTGAAAACAGAACTTCACAAAAGCAAAAAAAAAGAACAAAAACAATGGAATTTTAACTAAAGCCCTGTGGCACCATACTAAGCCACACACAGCACTCAAAATGTCCCATTTCGCATTTTGAAAATATCCTCCATTGGTCATTTTGATGTGCAGGGTCATACACTGCTGTTAATTTCTTCTCCTTACTGATTGGTTTCACTCACTGTGCATTGGCAATGGTGGAGGCCCCATTCCTGCAGCTTGTTCTGGCAGAGCTTGTACTCACAGATCAGGTTTTGCAGCAGGAGCCAGATTCAGAAACCCAGGCTGAATTTCAGTACAAAGCTGTGATCCTCAAGTGTCAAAACAAAAATAATACCCTTCCTCTCCCACCTATATGCCCCCCAAATAACTAAAAAACACAACACTTTTTTTTTTTTAAGCTGTGAAGCTCCCTGCTAAGATTTTGGTGTTTCTAGAAGTTTACATGATCTCAGCAGATGGCTGCAAAAGTCCACAGGAGAAGAATTCCATGACAATTACTAAATATACAGAAATAATGCTTGGCTCTAGACATTTCTTAGCTGCAAATGGCACGAAGCTCAAGGAAAATGGTAGATATTCCTGTCCAGTCCTTATTACCTTCCTTAAACATTAGTTTAACATTATTATTATGAGATGCAAAATATTGGTATTACTGAATTCTTGATCTTACCCAGCCTGATCATTCCTATGTTCCTGTTATCTTCCATTCCAAAGTTCCTTCTACGTAATTTTATTTTCTCACGTTACACTTTCATTGCTGAAAATTCCTTACTTGAGAGATAAGGCTCCAGAAGTGATAGACTTACTAGTGAGATTAATCCACATCCCAGTAAGTTTCCTACACCAAGACTTGTAGGTTCCACACTTGGATTCTGGCAAGTTACATGAAGAATCTGATCTATGATGATCTATGATGATGATGCCTTTTAACAACAGATATTTTTAACACTGCTATATACCAGATTATTTAAAAACTTGTAGTGCGCTACATTTGTACATGAAGAAAAAGACACTGATATCAATTATTGGTCTCCTTTTGAAGAATTAACTGCATTTATTTATATTCTGGATGTACTGATGTATTTATCCTGAAGACAAGATAGCTGTTGCTTACACAAAACATGTACACATGAGAAGATAAAGAAACAGTGCAAATTTGTCCTTTCTATTTCCTTTCCAAGTTGTATTCTAGTCAGATTTTTTTTGTTTGTCTGACCTTGATCACTTACTGATTTTCCGTACATCTTCTACCTTTGCAGTCTATTCATATTATCTTTGAAGATTTCCTCTTGGATCTTTGGCTTCCAATTCTTGCAGCAGTATTGCCTGACACACTTTGATGTTTTTGTAGGTCACCGACATACAGCTTTTACCCGCCAGCAGACTTCAAAGCCGGTAACGTTTGGCAGTCAAACCTGTCTCAGGCATTTTTACTGGTTTGAAGGAGTTACTGAAATTGAATGGCAAATGCTCAGCCAGCACTGGAGTCACATTCCTATGTGAGAGAGGACTGCCAGTGTTGCCTTTATATGCTGCTACCTGGATAGATCTTGAATTGGTGGTTATTTGAGGAGTACAGTCCCCAAAACCACTCCACAAAAAACAGTATTGGGGTGGCAATGAAGGAAGCAGCCTAAGTTTGTGGGCTCCCTCATTTCAGACCTCTGGTTCTAGAAGAACAGAATTTTCTTCCCCATAGACTTGTGCCTATGCCAGATTTTGTTCCCAGCACAGCTACCAGCAGCATCTACCAAAGCACAAGAACCATCTGCAGTCACAGAGGGAGCTGCTGACATACTGGATACCGGATTACAATTAGAGAACAGTACAAACTCCAACATCATCTCTGCCCCCAGAGTTCTCTTGTGACTTCCACGAGATATTCAATGTATCCTCCATGGAAATAGGTTTCTGATTTTAAAATGGCACCTTCTAATCAAGCATTTCCTTTCAATTTCCAAAGAAATGTGTTCATTTTTGAGAGGCTAGTTTATGTTTCTCCAGTTTGTTACGGTCTCCTTGAGAAGGGACCGACAGAACCTCTCACTGAACCTTCCTGTTCAACAGCTGCCCTTGTCTCCTAGACCCTTACCCCATGGTAAGCGTGCTTACAGGCACCCCATTGTACCTGGGGAAACAAGGTACTGGGTTTCTGAGACACGGGGAAAGTTGGGGTACTCATGGTGAATTCCCTCCATGTGTTCCCACCAAAACAGCTTAACTCAGTAGAAGGGGGTCTTCAGAGTACATTCTGCTATAGCTAAGGGGACATAAGCAGCCCCTCTGTTTACTAGAATTGCAATCTTGTCAAGGCAGACTTGCTATTCTTATTATTATCAAGCACAATTCCATCACACTAAGGTACAAATTAGCTGTTAGCTTGGACACAAGCTACAAGTTTGGTTATTTTTTATTTTGTATTGCAGTTTTCTTTTTATAGTGATTTATGTATTATTCAGATCTCATTAAGGCTACAAATCTTCAAGACACTATTTACTGAAACCATAATACCTATGCAATAAGTGCAAACCAGTTGTGGCTTCTGTGAGAATAAAAGTGCTAAAATATTGTGGTTTTCACTGCAGTGAATTGTAATCTGTAATCTAATGCCATATACTCAACCAAAAGTAATAGAGCTTTATGCATTTTATTGGTTGACCCGTAACCAATAAGCATCACTCTGAATTCTATCTAAACACAAGACAAAAGTATATCAGTTTTATTACCTTATCATTTAAGCTCTGTGAATAATACTGTATTTCAAAATATACTGCTGTATTAGATGTCATATATATGCATAAAACAACGGTTCTGATTTTATGCATATTGTTCAGTAAGTGGTTTCTTAAAGAGTGGGAAACCAGGTTTCCACTGCATGAGAAAGTGTTTAATGATAAATAACATATGTCATTTAAAGCAAGGGTAGAGCACATTCACATCTGTTATTCAAATCTGACATTACAATAGCATCTGCTGTCTTTCAGCTAATCACATTCATTTTTACTATTAAGCACAACACCAGGAAGGAAAACACAACAGCCAAACCACTGTTGGTCTTGGATCAGCGACTTTTGGGCCAAATCCAGCTCAAAAAACCCCAGTGAGAGCGATGGGCTGCAACACAGCATCCCAGCCCATGGCTGCAGGGAATCCTGTGCTAGTACTTACACTACCTGTATTGTGCTCAGCAAGATTTAGGAGCCTCATTAAACAGCAACTGAACAACCTGTGCCCTGAGAAATGACCCATTAAGGTCAGTAGAAAATACCCTTCAGGATTTTAAGTGCCACACCTAGGTTGCTGGGAGGTTCCTGGCTGAGGTCTACTCAGGAACTGCCTGTTGGAACCAGGCACCCACAACTCTTTCATCAACAACTAAATGGCTTTCACTAGTTTTTATCATACCAGGGATTAGAGTACTCAAAGATATTTAAGAGGCATTTAGTAACTTGCTCAAAGGGCCCATACCCACATCTTTTTCACTCACAGTTATGACAGATCTGTTCACTTGGAGATGATGTCTCAATATCTCTTGACTGCATGTCACGTGGTTTCATCCCCTCTGTTCATAATTATATCACTGGAGCAAAGATTCAATATTTGGAAAGCACAGAAGGAACTACAAGAACAAGATTGCCTCTGAATGCTAATCTGAATTCACTAGCACCGAAAGAGTCAGGCAACAGCATTGTGCTTTCAAAACCTATGAACACATGATTACTTCAGCAACTACATTAAACAATGTCATACCCTCCAGCATGTGTACTCACCATTGTTCAGTGAAAGTGGGATGACATTTAAAGACAAACTAATGTGAATGATTAAAACTACTACATCACAAAGCAAGCCCTATTACTAGATTTGGTAAGAAGACATTAGAAAGAACTTGACTGAAATATTCACACTATGAAGCTCAGGTTGAAAACCACTGAATGAGTTCCTTATTAAAATACTAATGCTTTCTTCAGTGGCACATGATCAGCATATGGAATTCAGTGAAAACTGTAGATCAGCTACACATTATAGCTGGATTATTTTTTCTAGTATCATTAGTATTACAGTTAGATTCTGTTTTTAGTTATAAAACTGAATTAAGAAGTCTCTATGCTGGAATAGATCAGTTTGAAATCCAGAAGCTACAGAGAGGATAAGATATACCTTGCTCCATAATGATGAGAATGGCCTTTACTCTGCAGCCCTTTTCAGAAGTATGAGATGCTGGCCTTTAGTCACACACAGCAGAGCACAGTCCATCACCTGCCCTGCTGC